GCTGAACAGAAGGGAACTACACAGCCATTTTAGGTATCCTCAAATTACTGCTTACGACTTGTCTCCATACTAGAGTAAAGTGGGTTCTGTTTAACATAAATGGTGGGAAGGGCTTCGCTCCAGGCAGAGGTTTATCAGTCCCAGCACCCTCTGGTAGTAATTGGGAGTAAGAAAGGAAGAATCTGAAGGCTTCTCAGATAAGCAGCAGCAGACCACTTTCCCCTGCCCAGCACTGTTTTGCTCACTGGCATCCTCCATGGGGATGCCACCAGGCCACTTGAGCTTGGCATTAGGGGGCGAGGTTGCATGGGGCACAGACAGTGTTTCTTTGTTTGTCAGTGTTGTGAAACACTCAGTTCAGAGTGAACCTGCTGCCCTCTTGTGCAGCACAGAGCCTTTCCCAAAGGTTTGGCACAAATACTGTCACTCACTGCCAGAGAAATAAGGCAAACACCTTCTTTTCCCACTGAGAGCAGAAACATTGACTCCTGCAGGTGTAGCTTGTCCTTTCTCAGGCCTCCTTCCTCTGCTGGCCTGCAGTGTGCGGCAGAAAGAGTGTCCTGTGAATAGGCCAGCTCTCTCCAGGACTGAGGTGTGACATGCATTCATTATGCTTATTCAGTAGAATCATAGATCCACAGAATGGTTTGGGTTGGAAGGGACCTTAGAGATCATTTAGTTCCAACGCCGCCTTCCACTAGACAAATTGCACTCAGCCCCCTCCAACCTGTCATTGAACACTTTGGGGAATGGGGCATCCACAGCTTCTCTGGGAAACATTTTCCACTGTCTCACCACTCCCAAAATAAAGATTTTCTTCCTAAGGTCTAACCTAAATTTATTATCTTCAATTAAAAGCCAATCCCTCCTATCCTGTCACTACATTCCCTAGTAAATAGTCTCTCTCTAGCTTTCCTGTGGGCTCTGTTTAGGTGATGGAAGGTCACCATTAGGTCATCCCAAAGCCTTATCTTTTCCAGGCTGAAAAAAATCCCAGTTCTTCTAGCTTTTCCTCCTAGGAGAGGCTCCATCCCTCTTATCATCCTGGTGGTCCTCCTCTGGACACTCTCCAACAGATTGATATCCTTCCCATTGATACTCATTTTGCTCATTTTACTTGCTGTGTTCAGACCATGAAAGCAGTGTCCCTTCAAAAGCAATTTTCCCATCTCAATTTAGGATGACTTTAGGGAATATAGCACTTTGTGGCTGAGGTATGTGTCCTGCTGAGGCAGGGGGATATTTCTCATCCTCTATAAAGCCTGTAGAAGTTCCCTGTCTGCCTTCTGAACTGCCTGGTCCTGAGCTTGGACACACCTGGGAAATGAAGTATTGCTGCCTATTGCTCTTTAGCAGGTCAATCTTGTGCTATACAGGGAGTTTTGCTGGCTGCATGCTCCTCTTCTGCTGAAAGAGCTCCTTGTCCAAACAGAAGGGATTGAATGAAAATGTTAGTGTGATTAAACACATTTCCCATGGGAAGAGCCTTTGCCTGGCCAATCAAGAATATTTCTGTTCCAGAATAAGTTAGAGATCACAGCAAAAAAAACCCCAAACTTTTCTAAGTAGTTACTGATATAAATAAACAGGAAAAATTACAGCAGGAAAAATTCTTGTCCTTTGCCTGGCTTGCTTTGTGTCCGAAATTGAAGTGTTCTGCTTGCTCTGCTTTCCAGTAAAATCTCATGCGCTAGCTATTTTCCTATGTAGGAGGGAAAAAAGAAGTGCTGGCAAGAATCTCAATCTGTCTCGTCAGCACCATCATTAATTGAGCATTTTTGGTAGTGGATCAGTTCTGCTAAGCTAAGGAAGTGAGGTATCTTTATTGTGGCCCACATGACGAGCAGGAGCAAGGCACAGTAGGGCTCAGGTGAGCTGGAATATCTGCTGCCATGTTTCTCTCTATGGCTTTGGAAGGCAGTAGTTCCTCCCAAGGATCCCAGAGCCAGGCCACAGCTACTACCAGGCTGTCCTTTGCTTTTCCTTTGCTCCTTCAGGTTACAAAGCTTTGAATTTTCTTCCAGCTCTGTGGTGGGCGACATGGATGGCAACTTATTTATGCTCCTGTTTTCTCTAGAAACCTCCAATTGGGTTTCTCCTAGCATAGTTTAACACGCCTACTGCCTGCCAAATATTTTTTTTTTTTAATCCTAAAAGCCTTTCTGTTGCTAGGTTGGAATTTTTTCTGCCTTTCAGATATAAAGTGACTAATGGGATACATTTCATAATACATCAGCGAGCATAATACTTGTTATTATCATATTTTAGTGCCCTTTAAAAATTATCAGCCTTTACTGGTAGGATGGGGTACTATGTAAATTGTACATCATAAAGACAGTGGGGCAAATTATTTGTTCTTTGATAATCACATTTTATAATTGGGGATTAGGGAGATGAAGTTTATTGGTGTGGGGTTTTTTAACCAATGTTTTTCAGGAGATGAACAAATGTCCAACAATAAACATTAGATGTTAGGTGGAATTTAGATCCTGTAAACCTCATCCTTCTCTGTTACAAATCTCTCCCAGGTTTCCATGTTCACAGTCTGGGAACACAACTTCTCCTCTCCTGTCTGGATAGCTGCTGTTTTTGCTTCTCCTGCTGCTTCCTCCTCTTGTTCTGTATTTGTAGACTAGACAAAACCTCAACAGCTAGGAGAATAAATGAATAGAGAAGTCATGTGGACCAAAAGCAGTAGCGGACACTGACACTGGATGACATCTTGGGATAGCATTGAATGTACATTCAAAAGAAAAGTGATGAGGCCATTTAATCAATAAATGTTATTGAATTTTTTGTCCTTTCATCTTCTGATACCAACTCTTTGTGCCTAGGACACAGAAACAGGCACTCTATGTCACTCTCAGTCACAGGTGGGATAGTTCTAGCTCCTGAAAACCCACAGGAGCCATGCTAAAAGAAACAGGCTTGGAAGATTGATCTATGGCTTAATAAAACTATTTCCACTTATGCAGGTTCATGGATTCTAGAATAAATAAGATTTTCATCCTTCTTGACTCCTCTGGGGTCTTTACACGTGGAATGGTGTGCTCCCTAAGAGTGGGCCAAAGGGAGAGCCTATATTCTCTCTGTACTGGGCAGCCTGCCTCAACCTGCTCTGCCACACTTCTCCTCTTTTGTATTCTTAAACATTACACCCATTGATAATATCAAGCGAGAAACTCACATTACGGAGATTTCTCCATGCAAGCACGTTTAAAACACCAGGCAATTTCAGTTAGCTTCAGTGCAATGGTTTTGGGCAATAAAGACACAAGGTTTTTGTTAGTGTATTGAAGCTGTTACAGAATAAAACTTGGTTATGATATGGTCTGAAATGTCTTGCTGGTTCTGTTATGCCTTTTTGCACAGTAAGTGAATTAGAAAAATGGCTAGTGAAGATTCCTCTTGAGAACTTGTTCCCTATCCTTAAAGTGATACCAAGAGGTCTCATTGTAATTTTTAATTATCTTCTAGCCCTCCAGTGGAAGGTAACAGATTTATTTATTGTAACTGATAATAATGAAAAGATGGACTCTGGGCCTAGTTTTGATTTTTTTTTAAAAAAGTATTCAAATCTGGAAGAAGTCTAAATTCACATAAGTCTATAAAAATATACTAGAAGCTGTGAAGTGAAAATATTTTATTTTAGCAACATAGAATACTTTGGATTGGAAGGGACCTCTGGAGCCCTATGGTACAACCCCCTGCTCATAACTGGACCAGCTCTTACACTAGTTCAGGCTCCATAGTCCTGTATTCAACTGAGATAGAATATAACTGAGTTGGGGTTCTTATGCTTTCTCTTACACAAATAATTTACAAAACAAAAATACAGTCTTAATTCTAAAAAAGGGTTGCCTGACAGTGTAGGAATTTTGCTTTCAATGGCAAAATTTTGTTTGCCTTTGAAATTCCTTGACACATCTCAATAGCAAGGAGAAATCAAAAAATCACTGTTTATAATCCTGAAGAAATAAAAGCATAGAAGAAGTCAAATCTCATCATTATTTTTAAGACAAAATTGAAGCGATGATGACATTCTTAGCTGTGAAAAATATGATTCTAAGTATGACTTTAGATACATGGAAAAAGTTCTATGCGAAGTCATTGGGAAAAAAACCCTCAAACAAAAATCCTTAAAATATATTAAATGTACTGTGTACTTTCACAGGTTTTTAATTTTCAATCTCATGTTTGCATGGCAAAACTGAGTGCCATTCAGTGGGCTCATTATGATGACTCAAATCTACATAGGAAGAGGACCACACAGAAGAAAGGTTTCTTTTCTCTGTGTTTTTAACAATTATGCCAAACTTTTATTATAAAAAAGTGTTGTTGAAATTTTGAGGGTTTTTATAAGACATTAACCATATCAAACCTGTCTTCAATGCTATTTAAAACAAAAGTATCTGAATTAGATTTTCTAGCCCTTTTGTTTGTTTTTATTCAAGTTCTGCAACTGTTAATGTAAACATTTTCTCTTTTAACTGCAATATTTTCATTTTAGATGAATGTCCTCCTTCATCTCCAACACTCCCAACACCATATGAATGAAACTACATTTAACAGCCAGCTTGCACATTCTGGTGGAGACTTACCCAATGCTCTGGTCTTACAACTCATGTTATTCCTTATACTTTCCTTCCTACCCTTGTCTGTTATTTCTCCCATCTTTCATGACACAGAAAATATAAAGTAAATACTGCAAGGGAGATTCTGCATGTTTTTCCTGTACCGTATTGTCTTGCCCACACACATTTGGAAGGATGAATAAGTAAAAAAATGTTTCACCTGTCCAGGCTTCCCATCACATATACATTTACAATTTTGCCAAAAAGACATCTAACTTGTGTTTAACTTCTGAAAACCAAAATGTTGCACCTTAAACCATCTTTCACTACATTTCTATACAGTTCACTTATTACAAACCCATCCTACCCAGAAAACACAGAGGAATATGCAGGTCTTGAACTGAAGAGCCATCTGAAACATCTTCAAGGCTAGAAAGAGAGAAGCAAGGCATGGGATCAGGGCCATCTCATGTGAGAGCTGAGGCTCAGTGTTGGACCAAACCCACAACTGCTACGAGTTGTCCCGGCTCCACAGCAGTTTCCACAGAGTGAGAGTGCCAGTCACCAACACTCTGGTTTGGGGGCTGCTAACCAAAATGCAGGCCTTGGACTGGATCATTTCAATAAATTCAGATGCACAGATCACTGTACAGTTGGAAAGGTCTACGTGCCCACCTCCTGTTGTTTCTGCCACCTGTTTTGGCAGAAACAACAAAATAGGTTTTGTGTGCGTGCCTGTGTGTATTGCATAATTCACGATCCAAACTGAATCCAAAATATTTGGATGGCAGCCCGTCCCACATTTGCTTGGTGGAGCTGGAGAGGCATGCCAAGAGCAGCACCAACAGCTGGCGGCCCATGATGCTCCGACCCCCAGGCTGGAGACACAATCCAGAGACTGTGCAAGTAAAAAGGGTCCTGGCTTTTTAAACCAGCTCTGTAGGCAGCTGAGGTCTGCGCTGGTGAAAGCAAAGCAAGGGATCGCTTTCAGCCCAGATACAGACCACCTCTCCTACCAAAGCTCTGCAGGTCATTCATTTTATTGAATATTTATTTTAGTGGTGACCAGGAAGCATTTCACAAGTCACTGCTGTTGTACAGTTGGAAGCTCAGCTCAACCACACCTGAGAACAGCAAGGTAAGGACTTGTAGTGTTTTATGCGCAACTCTAAATGTTCTTTTGCCTTTCAGTGCTTCTTGCAATGCAGGATTTAATTTGACCTGGTATAATATACACTTGCATCATTAACAATTACCAGTCATTGTTCCATTTGAATTTCTCTTGCTAATTAGATTCACTCCGACAATCTGTATGGCCCATAAACACAACCCCAAAAGGAGTATCTTCCCACAGTGAACAGAATGGAATATGAATAATCAGTTTAATAATTGTATTTGACTTAGCTTCTCAACACCAACATGTTAATCAAGAGCCTGCCAGGGCTCCCTGGTGGGAGAGTCCCGCTCTGCTCCCGACTGTTCTCGTGAGAGGAGCCGGAGCTCGCCTGACTGCTTTGCCAAGGCTGCAAATGCCGTGTGGGTCTTACACAAGCATTGAGAGCCACCACTTTTAATTCTTGCCGTTTTTCATAAGCACCCAGCTTTTCTCTGTCTCACTTACTCTTCTCTCACATTCTTGCCTTTCTCTCTCACCCCTCTCTTTAGAAAGGCAGTAGTGATGGAGACATTAGCTCCTAGAGGAGCTGAAGAAATTCTGGAATGTAACCTTGCAGTCCCTCTGTGAAAGGTCCTGCAGCCCCAAGCACTTCTGCTCCCCTTGCTGACCTGAGTATTTGGGCAACAAACCTGGGCTGGAAACCATTTCTTGGCCACTTGCTGGGCCATGTCTGACAGCTCACTACAACAGCCCCTCTCCCAGTGCATCTCCAGCAAAGGCAGCAATGTCGCTTCCAGACCCAGGTTGCTCCATATCTGACTGGCCTGAAGCACAGCCAGAGGGTCAGATTCTGCTCGTACCTGTTTGGTTAGGCTTCACCTGGAGCCCTCCTGCAAATTCCCTTCTCCACAACACACGTGTGAAAACTCTGGTAATTGCTAGGCAGAGCAAGATATAGCTGGTTGCTTTGGCTATGAATCATGCAGACAGGCAGTTGTTTTTATTCATTTTTTCATTGCTTTTCCAAGCTTTAAGGAAAAACATTAAAACAAATGCAATTGCACGCCACTGTGACTGCTCCTCACAGAATGCCGCTGTCGGAGTCGGACCCCTGATGCTACAGCTCAGCTGCCAGGGACTGGGGGTGGAAGAGCTGGCAGCTCCCAGGACAGAGAGTGGAATGTTGCTCCCAGGTTCATTTGGTACCAAAGCATTGGGAGGCACCACTGAGCTTTTCTCCATCCTCCACCCTACCCCTGTTTATGCTTCTTGTTCCAGGGGCTGCTTTTGACCCTAATCCAAAGAAAATAGATGTGGATGTGCTAGTGGCTGGCAACAATTGGGAGCTGGCCTTAGGCTGGAGCAGGTAGCACTTTGATACTTGTGACAGCAGGAGGATGCCTGTTTCATCAAATGCCAGCCCCACCACCACATGCATGTGCTCCAGTAACTACCCATGGCCTCCTGGGAAAGAGTGTCTCTGTTCTCCAGGTCTCCCTTGCAGGTCTCTGCTGCTCTGCTGTTAACACATCTTTCCCAAAAAAAGAGGGGTAGGAAGAGAGGAGGGTTGATCTGGGCACTTCCTCTTCTTAGTTGGAAATAGGTGCAACATCAGAATCAAGATGGTAGCACACAACTCCCCTGTGAGTATCTAACGCTGATTTTTCTTTATCCTCAGTTCTTTTCCCAACTGATTCACTCACTGTTAATAGCAAAAGCCACCTCTGACATCAGTTTTCACCTGCATGACCCTTTGTCTTTTACTTGAATGTCACCCTCCTTTTATTACAGCCATTCTCCAGGTGCCCTGCTCATCCTGCCTGGCCTGCAAACCACCTCCATGCCAGCAGTGCCTCATGGATTTGTGCAGCACATTTCATCAGCACAGTGTTCACATGGGTCAGGAGCATGCCATTAACGCAAACAGTGGAACAAAATTGGTCCCAAAACTCCTGCTTGAAGAACTCTCACACATAACTTCTGACCTGAGATCTCCAGCCTCAGCACTCATTGTCTCCTCCTCTTACCAACAACACAATTTCTCTAATAATCTATTTTGTCTCCAGCAACATCAGTGGTTTCTCACTTGACATCACAGCAAGTACATTAAAGTAGTCTAGATAAAGGAAATCTGGCAGATATCACCTGTCTGGAAAAATAATTGTTTTATCAAAGAGAACCATCGGGTTAGTCTGGCAGGATGTGCCTTTAGTTGCATTTCATCCCATTTTTGATGTGCCTTTGCATTTTTAATTAACCTTCAAGGCACGTTCCAAAGCCCTGCATACCAGTGAGGTCAGAGTTACAAGGACGCCGATGGTTGGCGGGATTATTTTTTAACCCTGCACAGCTGAACACGATGTAATGGATATCCTGCAGTCACAGGGTCCCTCTCTGACTTGGCAGATGTGTAAAAACAGTTGCTAGTAGACGTGCCATCGCTCATGCTGGTCTTTCCAGAACTCCTGGACAGGCGTGACCTGCCTTCCCGAGAGGAACGCCGCCTGCTCTTTGAGCACAGTAGCAATTCTATTTCCATATCCCTGTTCCCATTAACCAGCCTTCTTTTACCCCTAGGATTTGTCTTCCTTAAACCAGAGCAGAGGTAAAATACTCCTTTGATTGCAGGCCATACCTAAATTATCTTTAATCTCATTTACTGCACAGCAGCCTGACTTTGCTTTTCTTCCTTTCTTACACTGAAGAAGTTTTTTCCCATTTTTTTCCGGAATGCTTTGCAAGTTTCAGTTTAGGTTTGCTTCCTATGCTTACACTAGAGTTTTTCAGCCTCTAAATGATAAAGTCCTCTTTCTGTAAGGCTCTTCAGCAGGGTGCAGGCTGCCTCACCTCCACACCTCTGTCTGTGCCTCCCCTGCACAGAAGCCTCCACTTTCTCCACTTGAGTCAGCTTTGCTGAGGAACATTTCCCCACTTGTCAGCTTGCCCGCTGGCAAACCGAGCCTCAGACACACACGTATTTGTGTTTATTCTCCCCATTTGCTTCAAACAGGGAGAGTTACTTAGTTCAAAGCTCTGCTCTGTGACTAGATCTCTCGTAACTTAATTGCACATCAAAACAACATCGCCTTGTATGACTTCGCTGATGAAGATGTTTGTTGGTTGTCAAATCAAGGATATCTGGGCCCTACCATTGCTAGCTTGAAACATCATTGAGTAATGAAGTCTCTTCAGATTGCCAAAGCACTGAATGAAGATCTGAATAATTTCCAAAAGACTTTTTATCTCAGCCAAAAACATGAACAGCAGGTAAATGAGTGAAGAGAAAGTGTACTTTCTCTACTGACTGACCCCACAGCTTTTTTCCTGCTGAGTTTCAGAGGCCATGGGACCATCAGAAATGCAAAAGCTACTCAGCAAAAGATTGTCAGAGACTTCTTTGCTAGTAACTTTGTGCTTATCATCCTGAGGTGTTCTAAGGCATGTCAGAAAATGCCCTTGCCACCTGAAGAACAGAAGCAGGCCAAGTCCAAAAGGTGCTAGAGAAGGTTTTTCTTGGCTGTACTCTCCAGTGCAGATGTGTGTGTGTTTGCAACCTCTGCACAAAGGACTGTCTGGCCTTGCCTGCATGAAGTTGGGAAAGTGATTCTTTCAAGATCTGCTCTTAATTTCATCTGTCCTCATCAAATACTGCTATCCTCCAAATCCTGCTGGATGTGTCAGCCTAGCAGTTAAAGAAAAGATCTTCTCCTCACAAGAGCAGACAAACCACAAGTCCTGTCATGAAGAACAGAATAGAATGTGAATAGAATCATAGAACGGTTTGGGCTGGAAGGGACCTTAGAGATCATCTGGTTCAACCTCCTGCCATGGCCAGGGATACTTTCCACTAGACCAGATAGCTCACAGTCCCATCCAGCCTGGTCTTGAACACTTCCTGGGATGGGGTTTCCACAGCTTCTCTGGGCAACCTGTTCCAGTGTCTCACCACTCTCATAGTGAAGAATTTCTTCTTGATATCTAATCTAAACCTGTCCTCTTCCAGTTCAAAGCCATTCCCCCTCGTCCTTTCACTTCATGCCCTTGAACAAGTCCCTCTCCAGATCTCTTGTAGCCCCTTTTAGGCGCTGAAATATCCTGTAGGGTCTCCCCAGAGCTTTCTCTTCTCCGGACTGAACAGCCCCAACTCTCTCAGCCTGTGTCCATAGGACAGGTGCTCCAGTCCTCTGATCATCAAACCGTACAGGAACTGAAGAAGTGAAGTCAGTCCACGCATCCTACAGCACACCCTGTAGGGTGCTATAGGACACCAGTCACATAAAACATCTGAGATGTTCCCATCTGAATCCAAGCTCCTGGTTGCATCGAGCCATGATGATTTTGCTTGACTGCATGCCTGGATGAAACAACAGAGAACACAAACAGAGATGGGGCCAGAGCTTGCATGTGCACTACTTTAATCTTCCTGCCTTTCCAGCGCACCCATCGCAGCAGCGTCTGGGTGATAACTCTGTCTCTTTGCAAAACAGGAAGACCGTGGGCTGGCTGGCTTCTCTGATGAGCTATAAATTACAGGGGTTTTACCTGGCTGCCAGCCTCGCTGTGCACTAGGCAAGGCAGGCGCTAATGCAGGGTGCTGCGGTGGCCGGCGATAGGATAATTACTGTTATTGCATTAGGACAGAATAGCTGAGACTTAAGAGCCGGAGGGAAAAAGAGTCCCAGAAATTGGAGCACCGAAGGCATTGCTAGCTCCATGCACACAAAGGCGACCGACCTATAAATAATCTGACCTCTTTGTTCCAGTAAAATGGCACAAGAATTAAGACCCTGGTTCAGGAAGAAACTTAAAATGCATGACTAAACTCGGCATAGCTGAGCAGACCTATTGACATGCCGGGGCCCCGAAGGCATTTCTGCTCTGTGAGCCTTTGTGCTCACCTGCGAGAGCGGCTGCTGGAGGTGTCCCGCTGGCAGAGCTGCTTTCCAGAGGCTGTGGGGGGCCAGCTTAATTACTGCAGGTAAAGGAGCAAAAGCACCCTGCCAAATTTCAAGTGGGACTTCTCAACAGTCTCTAGGCTTCCTCTGCTTTCCAAGGTACAGCTAAAGAAAGAGGTTAACCTCTGTTAACCTCAGCTACCTGATAGTAGTTGGCAATTTGAAAATTAAAAGCTGACATGTAGAGCAAAAATATGAAGTGTTAGAACATGAGCCTAACAAATGTAGCCCAGAAATTTTCCAGTAAAACAAACCCAGAGCAAATCAGAGATCAAAAAAAGACACGTTAACCAGCAGCTGGGCAGGTCATCTCTAGGTTAGCTTCACCCTGCACGTATATCATCTCTCAACTTTAGGGAGAAAATGCACCCGAAGATGTGCTTGTTCAAATTAAAAGACTTGTTGTTAGGCTCAGAAAGCCCTTGAAATCCTCGATAAAGTAAAACTAGAACTATTTGTGAAAAGAAAGCTTTGATGGTTGCCTGAGGTGGGAAGTAGCACTATTTATAAATATTTTTCTCCTAGCTCTTGATCACAGAGACTTAGAAAAAGTATACCTGAAAATTATTAGTAAATATAAATATATTATAAACCCTTCCTTGCTCTTTCTTTTTATCTTTGCAGTAGAGAGAGAGTAAATAACTATTTTCCTCATGCTGGAGGTGGGGAGTAAGCATGGAGAAGGTGTAAGATTGACTCAGCATCACCCACCATCAGCCCCTGGCCTGGCCCCCCCACGTCTGGGATCCACAACAAATACATGTGTCCCAGGGAAGACATATGCAGGGTGGGTGTAAGAGCCATTCTGTTCCTTGGCAGGTGAGTAACAGGGTTTGGTAAGCAAACTTGGGTCAAGTGGGGTGTCAGACTTGATTGTGTGCTACTGGTTCAGCAACTTAGCAGTTGGCTGGCAAAACAATAATCCAGCAGCCTTTTTCCCTGGTGAGGGGGAAACAATAGCAAATGCAAAGTGATCTGCCAGAAAGTTTGCAGTGGACATTTGGACAAATTCAGGAAGTCCAGCCACTCTCATTTGTGCTGTGAACACCTGGACGACAGGGAGCTCTCAGGTGCACACCTGTCCCTTTTGCCTGCACTGGCTTTTGTTGCATTCAGGGACAATAAGGGTGAGGAAAGAGCCACATTCTTCTCTTGTGACTGCTTATCCCAATCTGCAGCACCTCTCCAGCAGCCTCCCCCATGCCCCACACGTATACACAGCCCTGAAAGCAAGCACTTTAAGACTGGAAGTGTAATCCAAATTTGCACTGTCATTTTCCCTAGGTAGCTCAGTCTTTAGTTACTGTGGAGCAATTAGGAACTAGCAGGTCTAGCAGAGAGATCTAGCAGAGGGACAGAGTGTTTTCTGGTGGCTTTTTCCAGGCTCCCAGGACAATTTTGGCTATTGTCCTGTGTGGCTCACAGCCCCGTCACGGTGTTATCTGTCAGGAACTCAGGAGCCCAAAGCTCTGCAGCCACAGGTTGTGTGTGCCCTGTGTTTATACCGTTTCCCGCTGGGAGCCGTGATGTTAAAAGCTGTATTGTCCGTCTGTTTCTCACGCTCCTCCCGTGTGCGTGGCCCCAGTGTCCCAAGGAGCCTTCAGGCTGCTGACAAAGCCAAGAGGCAAAGTTCATCTTTTTGTTCTGAGGCAGCGCAGCGCCTGGCACAACTATTCCTGGTCCCTGACTCAGAGCACAACCATCTTTGAAATAAATAAAACGAAGAAGAACATCTCTGGGCCTATATTTGACACTTGTATTCCCACACCACTTGGCTTTATATAAACATACAAATTGGTATGGTGGTTACTTTGACTCATCTGCTTAGCAATCATTTTATTTTAATCAATATTTATTTAACTCACCAGCTAGACAAAAGCTCCCTAATTTCTTCATCTGATTTAATTGATGTTCCCTGACAGAATGAAGCTAGACTGGATAAGACAGTACAAGCTGTGCCAGTCTTCTTTGGTTTGCATCTCTTTTAACAAGTCCTGTGACTGTCGCAGAGCCAAGGCACATCTTACATCTCGCAGAGGAATTGGGACCATACGTGGCTGTATACCCTGGGACAAAGAGCCAAGAAACACGCCAAAACAATAAGCGTTGACACAATAATTAGCATATTGATTCTCCATGCAAATTACCTCTTCATACATTGTGAAATACTTTGCATCGTCAGAGGACTTCAGAAGAGCCTGGAGTTTCTTACAGGCACCACGAAAATTAAATACACGTCTTCAGTTGTAACATTAAAATACAATTCTGGGTGAAGGATCAGAAAGAAACATGCATGCTGTGCAGATAAAGATGTATGGGATACATCTACCTGACATCCCCACCCCAAAACATAAATTATATTCCTGAAGGAGCTTTCAGGTCATGGATATTTCAGGCCTACTTAGAAGAACATTTTGTTTTTTATTTGAAGGAAATGATCTGTACCTTGTGTCACCTCAACCTCATGCCAAGGGTGAGGAGTGGCTGAAAGAATTGAATCACAAAGCTCAATCTTAGCCCAGTACTCCACTTGCCTGGAAAGAAAGGTTCACTTTAGCACATGTTAAAACACACAGGCTTTCAGAGGAACTAATTTTTCAAGCTCAGTCACAAGTGCAGGGGGAAAAATGAACTCTCACATTTACATCAGTGGAGTCATACAGTAACTATGATCTTGAAGTCAACACGTGGAAAAGCTTAAGTGAAGCAACCTGTAACTTGCTGCCCAGATTAGTTCATGCCCAGCTTTCTGCCAGCATTTAAAGTCTTTGTGAAATGCTAAAGTGTAAAGGGCAGCACTGTCTCTCAAGGCCAAAGTCAACTGATACTAGGAATTGGTACAGTAATTTTACAACCATTAACAGCATTAATGACCCTGTGAGCCAAGACAGAAAGCTGCCAGAAAGACCCAGAACTGCCTCTGCAAGGAGGAAAAATTGCCTTGCCTCCACAAGCACACTGCGCTGTTGTAAAAATCATGTAAATATCTCAACTGCAGGCTAAGAGGGCAGAGCTGTCTGCAGTGACAGAGACAGATCCCATCCAGAGACAGATGTGACACCATGGAGCACCCACCAGGACACCTAGATTTGAATGTAGGTCTAGCAGGGTGGTGAGTCCTACAAAGGGAGCTGCTTCTCCACTGCATAGTTTTAGGAGCAGGTTACCACCCTCTAATGGAGGGACCTGAGGCTCATTGAGAAGACCAGAGCTCATAGAGGGTGCCCTTCCCTTTCCCTCTGGCAGTGCCCTTTTGGTGTTCCTCACCTGTGTTGCCACATGCTCACACCACCACAGCCTCTTGATGGGAAAACACCAGCTGCCAGCACATTCAAGTGCTTCAGGTAAGGCTTTGAGGGGGGGACAAAGTGGAAAGGGTCTTGGAAAGACCCAGACCCCACTCCTAAGGGCTCCAGGCAACAGGAGACAAGTGAAGAAATCTCATCTACTCCAAAGGCCCTCCGGCCTGCTCAAGATTTGTTCAAGTTTGGTTTTCTACACAAGCGAGTAGTACAAGGTCAGACACTCTCTGTACAGCAGCTCTCGGAACCACTGCCTGGTTTTGGTTAAGCATGGCAGGACTGAGGATCTCTGTAATCACCCAGTTCCTGGGAATTTTCAAGTAAATGTTACTCTTTCCTGGTTTGCACAGGAAGGCATGACCAGAGGAGTTAGGGGTGCTGGCAGAGGACATAGAAGTGCATATGGATTCACTGGGTGCCTGCTCCCCCCAGCAGAGGAGCAACTGATTACAGCTGGAATCACAGGACATGCCTGCTCCAAGGCCAAATCCTGGCTTCCAAGCCTGCACATCCAGAAATGAGGGAAGGTCCCAGCCCTGGGGGGTTGAGTGGCACCATATGAAATAGCTTTCATTCTGGTCCAAGTGCAATCCAGCTCCTCTACTCTGTGCCCCAACAAGTCCTGTCTGTCAGCAAAAGCTGCCATCCTTGAAAACAGCCCGTAATTGCAGGCTTTCTGCACTCAGAGGGAAAGGGGAGGGGCTGGATAAAAAAACCACCTTGAGTCTCTGAAACACAGAAAACGTGTCCGAGTCGGTTCAATAGCCTTTCACAGACACAATAAAAGATTAATAAAATCACCCACAATGAAAGCAAATTTGGCATCCTTGTCCCTGGGATAGTGGTAATGCAGAACCCTCACATGCATTTTCATACAACTGATGGTATTATTCAGGAAAGGCCTCAAGTACTGTCCTGTGGGAGGTGATAAAAAACCCACCCCAAACCCAAAAGGATGCATGGGCAGAATTGTGATAGAAATTTGCACTTTTCCTGCCTGTGAACAATAATTCATGCAGTTAGTGCTTTATCAGAACTAATTTAACACAGTTTTTCATTTAAACTACAGGGAAGCAAGTTCAAGTAGGTTTCTCTAACATAAAGGACATCTTTTAACCCAACTTTTGCTCACGTTACCCCACCCCCACCCAATGCTATTAAATGGCTTGAAACATGACACAAAAATACATGTCTTATCATATCAGTTGGCTTTTCTCACTACAGCAGCCCTTATCAACATTCAGCAGCCCTATTAATGCAGTCCCCTTCAATCAGCATGAAAAAGTAGCACTCCACAGATCTCTGATCCGTCCCTTTCCCAGTATCATAGGCAGTTTCTGGATGCTGAATAAAGAGCAGGAGCTCTTTTAATGCCAGCAGTTTGCTCCTTTACATCTGGTCTGCGTGCCCATGGTCCACAGCCCTCACAGCTTGCTCCATGGCAGACCCCTGAGCTGCCAGTCTCACATGAAGCTGTCCTTCCCTGGATGCAGCTCCTGGAGCCCTGTCCCACTTGTTTCCTTCCAGTGGCAAGGCGGGGACAGCCCTGTGCCTATGCCCTTTGTCCAGCACATACTTTTAGGGGAAGGTTTACCTCTGTAAGTATTACATGTGTTGCACTGCTAAATGCAAACTGCTCTGAAAATACATCGCAGATTTGCCTTAATCCTACACTACATTCTTGAGAGATGTGAGGGACCAAAGTGCTAGAAAACCATTCCTCAGGAACTGCCATGATTTTTGTAGAAAAGAACTGTGGAGAACCAAATCTACACAGCCTACTGCAAGAAGCAGAGGTTCAGGAGTCAAACTGTTCAGGAACTGGGAAGTGGACACCCTCAATGGGCACTAAATTTGAATTACAAACCAGACAAGCCCAGACTATGTTGTAGTCCTCAATGAATATATTGGCAAGCCCTTTACTAGCATTTTCTCTTGGGTTATTTTAATTTCATGGGTTGTATTTAATTTGAGATCCCTGAGAAATTACAAAATAATGTAAACAAGTGTTTTCAAAATTGTTTGCATCTCTCCTTTCCCCCCTCCATGGAACTGGGGTGTCCTTGAGATATTATATTGGACCTGAGCCAACAGACTGAGAAATGGGATTGGCAAAAACAGAGGAAGGATGTGGCAACACACCAGTTGAATCTTTTCCCTTGGGGATTTGAGTTTGGTCTGGCCGGAGAGGTTGGCAGGAGGTAAAGGGAACAACCTCTCCACTTCTGCTCCACGTGAAGGCAGGCTTGCAAAGAGGAAGCCTGTTTACTGCCAGTGCCTCTTGGGCAGAGTTTATGCCAGGCTTGAGAGGTTATTTGGGGTCCATAGGACACCCCAGGGCTGTGTTTTTCCTCTGAGGCTTCATGCCCCTCTTTCAGGGCATGCAGGTCAGGTAGGGAGACACAATCTCTGCAGACAACTTGTGTTGCAAGACAGAAACTGCAATGCATGGTTGCTAGCTATGAAAAACTATCCAGGGAGAAGGTTTCTCTCTTACGAAATCCACCTCCTGATCATCCTGCAGAAATCATCCTCACCCTTGCTGCCATCCCTCAGCTTTTCAGTTCTGCCTTTGACTTCCTTACTAACTTTTAAGAATGTCTCCACACAAGGCTGCTGAGCAGTGCCAGCTTTGCTACCTTTCCTAAAATGAGCACTCTCAATTAGAGGACAAAAAACCCCAACACCTATCTCAGCTTCACAGTATTGGTGCAAATGGTTTAAGCTTTACTGGGGCTTATGAGATAGAATTCTAGCTAATCTAAGGTCAATTTCTATAGCCAAAGTGTTAGCTTAGTATTCTTGAGTGCACTGTTTGGTGGTGTTATTGACATATAAAATGGTGAAATGAATGGTGGAACAATCTTCCCTTCAAGTATTTAGTCGTGTGCACAAAAGCAGAGAAGTTTGTACTTCCCTGACAAAGTTCTCTGTTTCCAACATCATTCACCAACAACAACGTCTGGAGAATTATTACACACAAGAAAGAATCATTCCTCAGTTACATGAAACTATATGTGCTTTTTGTAGGGAAGGAGCAAAAAGCAGGTATTTTTATATTGCCTCGAAGCACTGTTAACCATTGTAGGAATGGACTAAATTTGGACTAGTCCCCTAGAGCCCAAACACATGTATTGCCAAATCGTTTCACTTTTTCTAGACTTCTAGTTTGCATTAGGTTGAACATGAAAATAATTTCTTAATGTTCTTATCATTAAATGCCTCCCCCCCCCCCCCCCC